CATGCCACCAGGAGGGAGTGAGAGAGCAGCTGGGCAGTGTTGAGTTGCCAGCTGGGGCTAAACCACACCACCATGAAAGAAACCTGACGTATTTGCAAGAGTTGAAAACCACAGGGAAGTGCCATCCTAAGATACTTTAAAAAACTCCTCAACAACTCCATGTAAGCTGCTCTCTCAAGCAGGGGGGTTTGAACTGGATAGCCTCCAGAGATCCCTTCCAACCTAAATTTTTCTGTGATGAAGTACTTCCCCTCAGGTGAAAAAAGTAAAGCTGATTTTTTTAACCTATCAAAGAACAGGGATTTGGAAGGAGCAAATTAAGCAGGAAAGTTATTCCTTCCTGATTTTCCCAGTACTCCCACCACTCTCAGCACTTTACATAGTCCAAAAGAGCTAAATCTCACCACGCATGCTCCTTCTAGTCTGCTGCCATTCAGTACTCTACAGCGGAGTAGTAGGATTACATGTATCAAAAGCAGTTTTTATAAAGCTTTAGATGCAAAATTTTAACCCTCATTACTTGTGGGTTTTACAAAAAATTACTATGGTCCGTCTCCATTAAAAAAAAAAAAATCTGGTTAGAGAAATGAGTACTTTCAGAACAAAAATTACTGAAGAATGAAAATAGTTTTTAATGTCAAAAGGAAGGAAGTTAAGTTAGGTGACAAGTCACACAGAAAGCTGCCTTTACTCAGTTGTTGACAAGTGGCTAAATGTATTTCCCACGACTTCACACAGGTATCTAATAATTACAACTAGCCAAACTTGTGATGCCAATTAGTACAGTACTTATTAGCCTCACTAACCATTACTGAGTAAGGTTCACAGTTAATAAAGTAGCAAGAAGGCACAGATCTTCAAGAATGCTTCAATAAACAAGCAAAGTTAGGCAACTGATTTGACACGAGAAGATGGTAAATACTCTGAAGCATCATCCTCTCCAATTACCTGGTTTCCAAACTGTGACCCTGTATACAGGAAGCGTTGTATATAATAAAATATGAGCCAAGCGAGCGATATAATCATCATGGTGATGAAGGCGATGGCTACAAACACAACCGACTGACCACTAATATATTCCTGTACGTGTCGTGTGCCAACAACAATAGTCATTTTTACTGGAATCCCTCTTCGTACTGGCTCCAATATCTCTATTCCTTTTGGATAACCAACCATTATCACCACTGTATTTCCTGTTCCTGTTGGAGGAGGAAAAAGAAAAAAAAAAGTCAGTCATCAGAGTAAAAATGAAGGCATTCTGACTTGATGGTAATTTGGGCCTCTTCAGTTAAGATCCATGAGCAAAGTTACAGGAAGACCTTTGAGGTTTTTTTCTGGCATAGCAGACTCAATAGCAAGTTTACTAGTAAAGAACCCTTTTTTTACTTAATAAAACTCTCAAACACAAGACAAACTTCAACAGATGCACCTTCACTGTTCAAGGGCCTATACTCCTCATTCCACACAGTGAGGTGAGATGTGGACGCCATGCAAAAAAAAAAAAAAACAAACCCAAACAAACAGGCAAGTTATACACGTCTCATCTTGAAGTTGTTTAAGTTCTAACACGCAACTCAAGAACAGCTGGTCTTTTATTTGTTAGTGTGGGTATTTTAGCTGCAGCTGGAGACAGTATGTGAATACCACAGAGACACACACATTCATTTCAGTTTGAACCTGCATCCATAGCACAATTACACTGCATATGTGAACAAAAAGAGAAAAGATCCAGATATTTAATACTGAATTATATTAAACATTCAAATCATAGAATGGTTTAGGTTGGAAAGGACCTTGAAGATCATCAAGTTCCAACCCCCCTGCCATAGACTGGAACACCTTCTACTAGACCAGGTTGCCCAAGGCCACGTCCAGCCTGGCCTTCTTTGGAGTACACAGTATTACATCTACATTTCATGTAATCTCAAATTCAGCTTGCATTTACCTTCTTGGTCTAAAACTGGAATAGAAACCCCCCCCCTTAGTTACTGGAAGGCCGCAATAAGATATCCCTGGAGCCTTCTCTTCTCCAGGCTGAACAGCCCCAACTCCCTCAGCCTCTCAAAAGAGAGGCTAAGTTTCCTAAAGATTCTTCAATACTAAATATTCAAAACATGAGACTTCACAACAAGGACTTGTCAAGAAATACTTTGGGACTTTTTTGTGAGCACAGAACCAAAGGATTTTTCTATTATATTAGAACTCGAAAGCCCTCAATCCATATGAAAAAGCACCTAATCCCAAAAAAACCTTTAAGCACCATACTGCCAACAATAACAATAAGATACTGTCAAGATCAACTAGCAGAATCTAAAGATCCTCTGTGACTCGAGTTTTACTCCATTTTGTCTGGGAGCATCTCCAGTACTGTCCGAGAAACATCTAACCTAAGTATTACAAAATAAATTACAAACAATTGTACTTGTTAAAAATGCCACCTTTTCACTGGTCTATGCTATTTTTATTGGAATAGTTCTTACTTTGCGCATACCAACACTGCTATACAACCTTGATAAGTCACAGCTTTATAGCTTACTTTGCACTCCTACATAAAGAGAAAAAAGAGAAATTAAAAAGTGAAAAAGAAAAAGTGAAACTAAGATTGATTTAGAGAGAATGTAGAGGAAGAAGAAAGAAAGGGGGTTTCCTAGCTCGAGAGCTGAAGCCGTAATGTCATAGCTACCTTTCAGATTCACAAGATTACTTACCTGCAACAAGACCTCCCACTGAAGACTTAAAGCCTTTTTCCCCTCCCGGCTGCATTAGATTCATTGCTGAGAAGCTATGTCAAAAGAAATGGCTGCCTAATTTATAACATTACATCAAGTGGGGATTTTCAAAACTCAAAGCAGCACTGTGGACTCACCCACCTCTCTGCCTACTAAGACAAAGTTATTTTCCTGAAATATTTAAAACGAACTCTTGTAGTTGAGACGCTTCTGGCTGTGACACCTCATCAAGCTAGCAACTCCGCTACCATGTCAAGGGGAATTTGCAGAAGCTTCACTTCTGTACGTAGCAGCTCCTCCCTCCGTAAGTGCAGACATTCTGCTGTGGATGTAACTCTAAAGGTTCCAGTTATTAGTGGAATAACCCTCCTATCTCAATACCAGTTACCCTTTTTCAGCTTCACCTTACACAACTGTTCCCCACTTTGGGTCACCTACTGTAAGAACCATTATACCCGTCAGCCAGATCCAGACCCAGCAAGAGAGCAGATTTTTCCAAATGGGGGTATGTTTCTACAAGTTTTGAGGATGGTGCGGAGAGACAAAGAAAAAGATGCTACTCAGCTCACCAGCAGCACCCACCCAGCTCCCAGCATGTGTTGCCTCACCTGGTGAGTACATTAGGAGACACGAAGCAGTGAAGCTGAAGACCAACAGGACAAACCCACAAGCAACCAGGCTCTGCTAATTAGTTCTACTCACCAACAATGCACCGATCCACATGATACCACAAGTCCAAGCATACTGACAACTGGTTAATTAATATTATTCTCCTCTCTGACCCAGCATGCAAGCACTACCAGAAAGACTTGGGTATCTCAGGTAAGTGAGTGTGTGAAACACTCCTTGCTTTCTGCCCCAGCACAACCCCACAGGGAGTAAACAAGAAAAGAACGTACAAAGGTAGAAATTCATCTCACATAGCTAAGAAACGTTATCCACATACCTAAATCCGGAGATTAGGTCCTACGTCCTTAATCAGCTGTAAGAGTTACAAATAACAGGAGGGGTGCCTAAGGATGGCTAGTGAACTGTACAGGAGTGCTGGAAAGATTTAAGTGGTTTCATTCAGGCTTGGGAAAGACAAGAAAGTTTCAAGATTAGAGGCAGCCTGGATTTTTCAATCAATAAAGGTTTCCTCCTCAGTCCCAAAATCTGAGTCAGTTTAATCCTGCTATCTAGTTCTGTGCATGATTTCTAACAAAGAAGTATTTAAAAACCCCACAACAATCAGTAATGCCTTTCTCTGTTTTATCGCTAGAGTGTCCAACTATCAGCCAGTTAGTTCCTTGAAATGGCAGTCAGGATACTTTTGTGCAACGGCTGCTAGACACTGTGACACCTTCTAGTTTTAGAACTGACACAAGTACACCATACATTTTTAAATAAATGCCCATTAAAAGCATTTTAACAGTTTTAAGGATTTGGTGATGAACCTGACATTAAAAATACATGTAACCAAACACAGTGGCCTTGGAGGTCAGGAGACAGAAGACGGGGAAGAAAAAAAAAAAAAAAACAAAAACACACACAACCCTTCGATCCTCTATTGCAAAAGGAACAAGAGCAGTCTCAGAGAAGCAGTTGCCCTGAGCAGCCTGTAAGACTAAGGGCTTTAACTCATTCCTCACTAATTTTAGACTTCTGCTCTGAAACACATTATTCAGAAACTGAAATGCTGTTGAGTCATTCCACCAGCTTCTTTAACTGCAACACAACTCAGAGACTTCAAATCACACTTACAGAAGAACTCCAAGTGTCACACACACGTATCTACCGAGAGCATGTTTTGTCGGCTTCACTTTTCTATAACTTTCCAATTTTGCAATAAACAACTACATTTTCACTCTGCTAGAGCAAACTTTTTTTCTAGGTTTGATTGATGCTTCAGTGGAATCGGGTAGATTTGAAATCTGCTATGTGCCTTTTTTTTTTTTTAACATTATCATCCAAATAAAGCAGTGAGAGCTGGCAGATCCTTAGGACACCTGGAAAAGGAGGGCAAATTTGGAACTCTGAAGATGAAAGTATGTTTCCTGCCAGTGTGCCAAGGTCAGTTTTACTGCTAGTATTGCCAGTCTTCTCTTGCGAAAGGAAACGAACACTGCCCTGATGAGGAAGAAGTAGCCCAGATACAGATCTTGATTCCAGGCATCCCAAACTATCACATTATTCCCATTCATGGATAATAAAGAATTTTCTATCATCCAGAAAACAACTGCAAACACACTCTATTTTTTTGTCCTCATGTGAGAAACACCAGAAAGCTCCCAAAGTTTGAGTGCCTTGGTAAAAATGTTTGAGGTCAGTCCTTCGATCTCTTTAGGCATAGGCACCCTACTAATTTTGCCACAATTAACAGTGGAAGCTCTCTTTAGCTCCTGGTCCAAACTAACATCTCTGGATCTTTACCAAACGCGTAACAGTACACTAACAATCCAATGAGAAGTTTTGTCTCCACCACGTAACCCCACCCCACCTCACCAAGTTCCTGGTGTGTGTTGTGTTTTCACCTGCCTCAAGAAGGAGGATGTGTACCCAAAAGAGTCAAGTAGTCAAGCAATCAACACTGGTACACATTCCTCTTTCCGCACGGGCTTCCAACATGTACACACATGTATAAAATAGGTATAAGCATTTTGCAGTTACTCCTGCTTTTTCAGGACAACATAGCAGCTTAACATCGTACAGTCACTGAGTTAAGCAAGCCACTCATTTCAGTTCTGTCCTTTCAGTAGTATGGTAACAGAAGCTTTCGTAATCAGTAATACAGAAGTTAAGGCACCACTTCATCCTAAGCAGTGCTAAAACCAACATACAACTCCTTGAGTCATTTGGGTAAAATGAGTATCTTCCACTGGAAAAAACCTCCTCAGCCACACGTGAAGTTGTTCCACTATTTCTTCCCTCAAAAAGGGAAGTCATCCAGCATTTTGAACAACGTAATTTGGGTAGAGAGCAAAGCCCTTAAAAACATGAGACATCAGTAAAGTTGTATTGGAAGAACCTTCTTTTGGAAGGAGGGACACAATTGCAAGGCTACATATTCAGACTCTCAACTCTCCTGTTCCAAAACCTTAATTAAAATCCCTACTCACTGCACTCATGAAGCTCATAAGGTACCCATGAAAAACAACTAAACTTCAGAGTATTTGGAATACATGTCCTTTATCAAATGCTTTGACACCAGCTAAAACAAATAACGTCTTACCCTAATCAAGACTCTTTTTACTTAAACTGGAGTATGTCTAAAAACACCAAAACCCCCATCAGCAGTAGCACACACACGTCACATACATCAGAAAGTTCAAAGATCAGGTTTTTCAGAAGGAGAATGAAAAGATGAAACTTTGAGATCAGAAGAGTTACCCATTTATCACCCTCACGTATTTCAAGCTGCACCTCTATCAGCCATAACCATTGTTCCATCTCACATCATTTTCAGTGCCACTAATTGCAAATCCATTAAGTGGATGTTG